AAATCTGAATGCACAAGGGAGCCCACAGAGGAAGTGAATGGTCTCAGAAAAGGACCCCTCTCTTGTTCCTCTCACCACACATGGTATCCTAAAACTGAAAACACTGCGGGCTGCTTAAAGTCATAGAGAACTGTATAAGCAAGAACAGCTCAGAGGCTCCTATTACATGCAATGCAGCATTATTAAATGGCAAACTTACATAATATTCCTTATTTTTTTCCTGAAAATTGTTATTTTGAGTGAAATATTCCACTGGATGATTCATTCCACTTCAGGATGGATAGGGAGGGAATCTAGGAGAGGGAGTGTGTGAAGCAGTGAGTATTCTCAAGTTTTCCTTTACCGAAAAACCTACGGAGCCCCTTTACCCAGTATGGAGTTTTAAATCAGAAGTTATTATTCAGCAAAAGACTAGAATGGCAACATTTGGTCTTTCAAGAACAGAGAAATAACTCCTGACTATTTTCAGATATCACTGAGGCTTTCCAGAGGTATCAGACGCATGGTGGCGGCCAGCCAGCCGTGTGACTGGTGACTCAATACCCAAGTTTCTGTGGTCTTTATGGTCTGATATAGTGAAGCCATCAGTTTTTGAGTCTGAAGTCTAAATGGGAGCAGGAGGCTCTTCTCTATCGAAAAGGTACAATGAGAAGCAGTAATTCATATTACATCTGTTTGGATTTCTGTAAGCTCAAGCTTGGTCACTTAAAAGTATTTTTCCCCCTTCAGAATGTAGCATCTCTCTTCTAGAAGTTTGGATTATTTATTGTTTGATTTGGGAAAAAATCAGGCAACCATTCACAGAAATCTTTAAAGGTGATCAAATAGTCAGAGTGGGAAGAACCCCACCTTCCTGCAATTTCATTTCAACTTCAAAAGCCATATCCTTATTAAACAAAGCCCTGACTCAAAAATCTCTGGCACAGCTGAAGACAGACCTATAAATATTTTTGGCAGAAAGGAGTATGTCACCAGCTCAATATTAACATGGCTTAATAAAAACTACAAAAGGTGGAACAAAGAAAACCATCCAAAATGAAGGCTGCATACACCTCTGAAGAAACAATAGCGCATTACTTTTTGCTAAGATCCTGCATCGACACCCGAGAACCGCTGCCTTGTCCTAATTAAAGTGTGTTTCACCGAACTCTCCTTGATTGCTCATTATTCAGGGCAGTCTGGACTCAGTGCCAACAAAGTAAACCAGGCACTGAAATGCACCTTCAAAGACACCTAAATTGATATAACATCGGGCTTTGCAAAACAGAAGAGGACCAATAAGAATCACTTGGCAGCACATGCACGCTGGAATCCAGGTAAAAACAATATTCCTTCCTGAAGAGGGCTGCTGTTTTCCAATCCAGTCTGCTCCAGAGAGCAAGCATATTTTACTATGGAATGCTGGAATACGCATGATATTAATAAAAGCAAGATCAAATTAAACAGATGACACCACAAACATGCTTCATTTCATGCATGGCTGTGTTTTTCCTATGAAATAAAGAGCCAAAGTAATTACCATGAACTGAAACTTCTTCCCGGATCTTCTTTTGCGGCCAGCGGTAGTAGGGGACTGCGTGCTCTGTAACAAAGACAAACGGCTTCTCTTCTTCACCTTCTTTCTGAACGTTACCAGCTAAGCATCTCCACCGTTGGAGGAACACATAGAGTATCTCTGTATCTATGTCTCCAATGCAGCATAAAGAGTACTGTGGAAGCCTATCAAGCCAGCGAGGAGCAGCGCTAGCAGCCAATGAGGAGAGGCTCATGCAGAATCCAGCACATGCTCGCTGAGGCGCAGGGTGTCACCAGCATTTAGCAGGCT